GTTCTACCACATTCAGAACAATAATATGGCTTCAATACATTGAGAACCTTCTGTTGTCTGATGAGCTTTGTCTCCATTGTAAAACCTTTGTCAGATTCCAAACAAGAATTGGCTTCTAAAATGACTTCTCTTGTCCTCTGATGTTGGATCAATGCTGAAGAATATCCAAAACCTTTATGAACTTCAGAACACCGGTATGTTTTGTGTCCTGTGTGATATGTTTTGTGTCCTGTGTGATATGATTTGTGTCCTGTGTGAAACTTCCAGTGAACTGTAGAAACCCTTCTAGTCACTTAGATCACGTATATGGATTCTCTCCGATATGACTCAATTGTGCTTATGAAGACCAACTTCGCCGAAAACTTGGCTCATCAATAAACCTGTACAGAGATAAAAAAATATATAAATTAAAGCCAAAACTCTATAAATATATTTATTATACAGAAATATGTACTGTACATGGTTAATGTTTGTTTTTTATAGAGGACACTATATTATTCCCCATAGTCCCATAGGTTGGTATAATAGACTGCTTATTACAGTTTTCTGCAGGAAAATCTCATTCTTTGGACCCATTCAGAGCATTGTGCTGCATTTTCTAGTCCCAGTAAACTGTATGATAAATCAGAAGCCTCATCTCTGTGATATTGGCACCGCGAGAATTTGGCATGGCTGCTGATTGTTGTAAACACATGGGCTCCCTGCACAGGATTAGGCGAGTTTGGGAGTTTTATCATGTGTGTCAAACCCGTTTCCCTCCCGAGTGTATACTGAGGAGAAAAAAGCGTTCAGCGCCTCGGCCCTCTCCTTGTCGTTTGTGACTAGCTTCCCGCTTCCATCCTTTATTGGGCCTATCTGCTCCTTTCCCACCTTTTTACTGCTAATAGAGGAGCTAAAAACTATCATAATAGAGGAGAAAAAATAGTGACAACAAAAGGAGAAGACACAGGGGGCGGGGACAGAAAAAAAGGGCTGGAACACTCCGTAAAAGTTCCCTCGACAGAATGTCTACGAATAGAGAAATGTTTCCTTTACAAACATTATTAGATACATTGTAAACCCGTCCTCTTCTCAGATAACACAAACATATTAATGTCCTTGGCTGGGGTCTGAGCTTTTGACCCATCGACATTGCTTTGATACATTCAAGGACATCAATCTTTTTGTGAAATACTATATATGTGTATATATGTGTCTATTGGGGTTGCACAGATACCAAGTACAGTACTAGGTACATGTACCGATACTTTTGAGCTCCAAGACTACACTA